CTAATGAAATTCTCCAAATGTTCATGCATGTTGTCTGCCTTTTTCATTAGATCTTTTATCCTGTTAATCATAAGTATTATAAAACTTATTTCTTAGAGTTCTAGCACTTGGGTCATCTCTGGGCTCTGTTTTATTGACTTGTTTTTTTTATTTTTAATTTTCATTTATTTTTAATTGGAGGATAATTGCTTTACAATAACTGTATTCATTTCTGCTATACAACAACTTGAATCAGCTATAAGTATACGTATATCTCCCCCCAGCCACCCTTGCTGCTGCTGCTGCCTGCCACACTTGAGCCTCCCTTTTATTGACTTCTTTACCATTTGACATATTTCTTCTTGCAATTCTGGGTGTCTTATAATGTTTGGATGAACACTGGATGTTGTGTATTGAGAAACAGTAAAGGCAGAGTTAAGTAGTACTTATGTTAAGAAATAGGCATGTCTCTTTTTCTGTCAGAGTGTTAACATGGAGGGTGGCATCAGTCTAGTTGGTAGTTAAGCTCATTTTGGGTGTTTTGTTTCCACAGTCACTGTTAACTTCAGGTTCCTTTAGCTTTGGTTTGCCATTATCTTTGTTTTGTGTGGGGTGAGGTTTTGGGAAGATTTTCCTCAGTTTTTCTGCTCTATCCTCCGGTTTCATCAGTCCTCTCTCTGCTATGCCTTGAGGGGAGGGATATCTCTGTGCTCCATAGTCAATTGCTGTTGCTTATTATTAGGTTGTAGGATTGTGTTGGGTATAGAAACATAGTTCTTGATTTTCTTGTACAGCTTCATTCTCAAACTCTGTGTGCCTGAGTCTCAGAAGTGGGCTTTTCCTAATGTTTCTACCTCCTTCTTCATGATAGCCAAACTTTTCTTTTGATCTGTAGGTTGCCTTAGGTGCAGTAGAGTTTTCCAGCCCCTTCCCCAGCATTTTCAGAAATCTACTTTATATTGGTGCAGGGATTTGCTCTCAAGAAGGTTTTCACCCCCTTCTTTTTTTTCTAGGAGCAGGTAACTTTTGCTTCTAATCTTTTTGCAGAAATAGTCCTTGCTTGAGCTTTTGGAGCAACAAAATTTCTTGCCTTATCCCAGAGGCAGACAGGATTTGTTTCTCCCTTTTCTCTTGTGACTTGTGCTCTTTGCTTTGTGTAAAAAAGAGTCTAGTGAGTGAAGTCGCTCAGTCGTATCTGACTCTTTACCACCCCATGGACTGTAGCCTACCACACTTCTCCATCCATGGGATTTTCTAAGCAAGAGTACTGGAGTGGGTTGCCATTTCCTTCTCCAGAGGAGTGTGCAGATTTCTGTGCTGTTCTCTCTGCTTCACACCTGCACCACTGAGTGGGGCTCTTTGGTTCTCTGCTGTATCTCCAGTTGTCCTGACCTCCCAAAGGAAGCCCATAGAAAAGAACTTCTCTCTGGAGTTCCTAATTTTCCTAAATTGCTGTGCTGACCCTCACACAGTATTTCAGAATTCATTAACATTTCATCTGCTCTCTTCTTACCAGTATTTTTGATATTCATCTCTTTCTTCTTTGCCAATGTTGAAATATTTTGTGAGCTGAACCTTGCCTTAGAGGGCTTTGTCACTCTAGAATTCATGTCATTTGTTTGCTTTACAATCTCAGATCTCTGATGGGTTTGAGGAAAGTTATGATTTCTTACATTGTCTGAGTCATTGTTACATTTCTACATTCTAAGGAAGAGCAGAACACTCTTTACTTTTTAAAAAATACACTGATCTTGCATCTTGTTTTTTTTTTTTTTTCAATTACATAGGGTTTCAGTTACAACTTGGAGCTTATTCTGCTGATGCAGAATATAACTGGCATGTGCTTCATTCTTTGTTATATTTGATTATTATATATTGTTCAAAGTAATACTCATATATGTATAAGAAGTCAAGACTTATTCAAGATTAATGATATAAAGACTCAAGATTTATAATAAAAAACCATGCTGTCCTGCCATGGGACTGACCATTTCTGTTTCCTTTTTTACAGAGGCAACCACTTACTACCTGTTTTAGTTGTTCTGTTATTTTGTACTGTTAATAACTTACACTATGATTTCTTGATTTTCCTTCTTTTTAGATGTTATCTGAGCTCCTGCTTTGAAAACCAAAGATTTAGCTCTCTTACTCAACATGTATAGTTTTCTTTTCTCTCTAACTTTCCCTGTACCCTCTGCCAAGTAAACACTTCATGTACTGTTTAATTTCTTTGTTTTTTCTTTCTTGGAGTTCTTTATCTTCCTCTTCTGTGTTGGATTGTTTGTTTGATAGATCCACTGAAGACCCAATGTTTTGGTTCCTCTCTTCACTATTTCCTTCTTAATTCCTTTTGCCTCTCTCTTGTTGAGTTGCCTGCTTTCTGGACAGTTTCCTTGTTCATAATTTATTTTCTTGTGTTGATGGAGTACATGCTTTCATCGTTTCCTGATAGAGAATGCATGAGTAATACAGTTTTTTGAGATGCTGTAGTTCTGTTATATCTTTATATTTCACACATGCTTAATTGGTAGTTTTTTCTGAGATACAATTCTAAATAGGAAATATTTTTTCCACAGTTTTGAAGGCATTGTACCAATGTTTTCTACCTCTCAGCATTACTGTTGAAATTCCAAAGTCTTTGGATTCTTTAGTCAATTTGTGAAACTTTTACATTTCCTCTCCCTCATGATGCTTTTCTCACATCTTTTCTCAGAAGTTCTGAAATTTCTTCAGTGATTGACTGGATTTGTGTATTTTTTGATAAATTGTTTTTGGGTGTTTGGGCTCTAATTCAGAAATTTGTATACTTTAAAAGTGGGGAAACTTTTATATTTTTTCTCTGATGATTTCTTTCCTTCCATTTTTGATGTTGGCTCTTTCTAGGATACCTGTTAGTCTGAAGAGTGATTTTTTGCTTCTTTCTTCCTTTGTTTCTTTTCTGTTTCTCTTTTTGTTCTGTTTACTGGAGATTTCTTCAGTTTTGTCTTCCAGTCCTTCTTTGAAATATTTTCCTTTGGCTACTGTATTTTTTATTTCCCAGAGCTATTCTTCATTCTCAGAATATTCCTTTTTATAACCTCTTGTTCTTGTTTAATAGGTATAATATTTCTGTCTCTTTGAATGCTTTTTTCAACCCTTTTTTGAGGTTTTATTCTGTTCCCTGTGTTATGCTCACCGTTCCTTGTGGATTGGGAAGACTGATTATTGTCTTTAGAGGCCCAGTGATAAAGGGAGCTGGGGATCTTACCTTCTAGGATGTAACTTTGGAATCCATCTCTATTTTCAGTGTGATGTGTAGATCCATCCCATCCTCAGCTGTACCTGGTGTCCAGAGTCTCTCTGTTTTAGGCCTCTCTGAAGAGGCAACATTTTAGGAAATTTGTCTCCTTGGGGTCACAGAAATGACCTGGAAGTTTCATAACATTTGAAAGACTTCCAAACAATCTTTCTATTTTCATACTCTTCCAGGATTCATCTTTAGAAGTACCAGGTGTGCTTCTGATTCCTGAGGCTTTCTGGGGTCCTGAAGCACAAATCCGTTTACTCTTTGTAAGCTCTTTGTTAGCTTCTAGCTCTGCAGGTGAGGTTTCAGCTGGCCCACATCTGCTAAGTTAGTTATCATTAATCTACTCTCCATGTTACAAATTTTGACTTATCTCTTCTGTTGATTCCTTTCATATTCAGGGGAGCCTGGGGGCAGAGGGAAGGAGAGAGAGTTTATGGATTATTGGATTATCAATTTAGAGTTGTTTGGGGAGAGAGATTATTCTTAATGTTTACTCTGTCATGTTAAAACAGGAACCTTAGAAAAGCAGTTTCATTAGAGTGGTGAGATAGAAATCAGAGAGCAGCAGGCTTGGGATTCAGTTGATGAAAAATTAGGCTTAGGGAATAAAGCCTAATATTTAAATAACTTTGGTTATTAGTGGAAGGAGAGAAAAGGAGGAATGAAGTGCTAAATATATTATTACCAACTTCAACTGAGCCCTCAAATGCCTGAGGATCTGTATTCTTCTCATCATTTAGCTTTCTTTCCTAGACTTTTTCCTTACTGTGTACACTTTCCTTAGATTTATAACCTACCTCACTCCCTCAGCACACCCCCCCCTCTATGATCCTGTCTTGTGCTTCACAGAGAACATGTGCGTGGGAGTCACTCAGGCCTTCCCATCCATGTGTATCTGCATTTACACATGTTACTTTCTCTTCCACCCTTTCACAGTTGCAAGCTATTTGCTAGAAATGTAGTTTGTGTTTATATATGGATTTAATTTATCCATTTGATCTTTGACATCTGATAGCATAATATAAAATACCGATTATAAAAAGAAATATGTCTCTCCCCACCCCAGAGTACTTTATATCAATAACACCAGCTCCACAAAAAGAGAACATAACCAGTTAATGTCACTTGTAATTTGATTAAAATACTACTTCAGAATGTCTGAGCTCAGAATGTATTTTACACTAAATGTTGACCAAATCATCTGGCAAAAGCCAGGATATTCCAGATTTTGCTTAGAGTTAGGGTTTAGTTTTCAATTTTTTGTACCTGTCATGAGCAGTATTCAGTGACCCTTATCAGGACTATTCCAGAACAGACATAATATTTCTATCATTAATTTAACTTCAGAAGTGGTAAAAAATCTTTTACTTACTTTAGCACTTGTGATGATTATTGTTTACTGTTTGAAAACAAATTATTTACTTCTTCGCCACCTTGATAGAGCTCATGTTATACATAATGTATATACTAAATATTATGATAATTATGGGGCTTTCTTGATGATGTAAATTATAAATTTAAATAGATAAAAGCAGGAGGCATAAGAAACATATGAATGTAGAAAAGGGTTAGATGTTACAGTTCATGTTAATAATTCCTGTGTCCATGGTCCTGGGATCTGCAGTGGAGAGGATGAACAGAATAACCTGTACCCTTTTTTTGTTGATTAGGATTAACTTTTTTTTTTTAATTTAAGTTTCTTTCCTGAATTTAAACAATTGGTTTAATTTTTCAGACAGGGGAAAACAAAGGATGGAGTGGTCCAAAGGCTGGGTTTCCTGAACCAACAAATAACAGTAAGTTTCTACCTTTATACTAGCTGCACTTGGTGTTCATCAGTGGTTCCATGACTTGTCCCTCACTGGGAATTTACTGGGTCTTTTTGGGCCTGAGATTCTATGCTTAGTGTTTTGTAGGATGCAGAAAGTGTTGTGCTTGCTTTCCTGCAACTAACAGAAGACAGAGAGACTCATATCTTTAACATGGTTAAGTCACTGCAGACAGAAAACCATTTTATCCATAAAGTGATGATGATGTTTTTTTAAAAGTTGTTTTTATTGTGACATTATCACAGTAGAAAAGAATCAAGAAAGAGAAAGTTATCTACCAGTCCAATATAACCCAGCATTTAACTGTATTCACAGTTCTACTTTTTTAGGTACACACAGACACTTTTCCGTGGTGGCTCAGACAGTAAAGCGTCTGCCTACAATGCGGGAGACCCAGGTTCAATCCCTGGGTTGGGAAGATCTCCTGGAGAAGGAAATGGCAACCCACTCCAGTATTCTTACCTGGAAAATCTCATGGATAGAGGAGCCTGGTAGACTACAGTCCATGGGGTCGCAAAGAGTCGGACACAACTGAGCGACTTCACTTTCACAGACACTTTTACATAATCAGAATATAGACAAAAATTTGTAGTGTGTTTTCATTTAACATTGTAGTACACATTTTTCAGATTGTGCTGAGTCATTAGAATTTTTGGTATTTTATTAAAGTTACTAATTGAAATATCAGAAATGTAAGGATAAAATTGCTCACAATTTTATTCCAAATAATAGTATATCATCATTTAAAAATCCACTTCAGTTCTACTGAAGTGGGAGAAGGGAGTTAATGGGAAGATGACCGGGTCTTCCTGAGTCTTTGGAGCCTTGATTGTTTTCGGCTCAAAGGAATCTACATGTCACAGAGAAACATTTTAGGATGGCAGGCAAATTTTGCTCACCTACGATGATTCCCAGTGTTTGGAGCATCCTTCTTGTTGCTCGATAGTATGCTGCCTGATTCATGAATCATCGAAAAAACCAATTAGCTCTTCAAAAAAATTTAAAAAGAATAAAAATAAAAATCCACTTCAGGTATTTCTGTTTTCAAAGGTACGTGATCAAGCTGTTATACATTGGAAGTGTAGACATTTTTTACTTCCTCCCCACCGCTCCCCAAAAGCATCTGTTTTCACTGAAGTGACCATTTTACTGTAAATCAGTAAGATGAAACAGCCAACCAGCGAAGACCCTGGCAAAGTGAAGTCCCCAGCAAAGTGAAGTCCCCAGTAAAGTCGGATCTCTGTCATTTCTAACCCCAGTTCTCTTCCTGATAACCTTCAGAACCTGAATTAGCTTAAATACATAAATTCTTGTCCTGAAGAGTATTCTTTCATATTAGTAACTGCTCATCTTTTGATGTATAATGAAATTTGTGACAATTCTTACCAGAACCTGCTTATGAGAATTGAATTCTCAGATTATCAAAACTAGCCTCTTGAAAAAACTGTTTCAGTGAGCCAGTGGTATTCATGAATTATTTTCTGGAAATAATGTAAATAATTCGATATCACTCTGGGCCTTTTGTCTATGTATGTAAGCATGATGAATGTGATAGGCTCAGCATGTTGCCCAAATAAAAAATGGAATCAGTTCAGGATTCTCAGAGAGTTTTTAATTCCTTTGTTGTTTGAATATATAGAATTGTATTTAGTTGGGCTTCCCTGGTGGCTTAGATAGTAAGGAATCTGCCTGCAGTGTGGGAGACCTGGGTTTGATCCCTGGATTGGGAAGATCCCCAGGAGGAGGGCTTGGCAACCCACTCCAGTATTCTTGCCTGAAGAATCCCATGGAGAAAGGAGCCTGGCGGGCTACAGTCCATGGGGTTGCAAAGAGTTGGACATGACTGGGTGACTAAGAACAGCACATAGTTATTTGGTCAAGGAGTGTGAGAAACATTCAGTTGGTTTCAGTTTTATGTAAAGTACTTAGCCCAGTAGCTCTTTCTTAGTAAGCACATAATGAATGTTAATTTTTTTCCATACCTTCTCTCACCCCCCTTTTCTTTTTAATAAAAATTCTATAATTTTGTGTAGGCTTGCCAAAAATGTCTTTCTTAAACTTCTTATCTCTCAGATTTTTCTGCATGTACACGTGACCAAAGAATATGTATGGTTTGTATTTGAATGATTACTTTTGGCATTAGGTTTTTTTCAGAGAACATAAACATTACATATTTAAATATGGAAGTCAGATAGTTATTAATTTGGTAGTTTTAACATGAAAGCACATTATAGATGCCCTGAAGCCTCCATCACTAAACAGTGGTATTTTGACCCTCATCTTTACGTCTGTTGCTTTTTTTTTTTTTAACTTCCTGAGGGATTTGGAGCTCCTTTGCAAGTAGGGGAAGAAATATCACAAAAAGGCCAGTGAGTTTCACTGATGAGAAATGTGTAAGAATGTGTAAAAGATTTGCTTTAAACATAATGTTGGAAATGATAAGCTGTTTGAAGCATCCTTAAAATTTAACCAAATGTTAGCACTTTAGGACTTGCTCTGGTTTCCAGTAGTTCAAAATCTGAAAGAAGAATTCTCCCTGGCCCCTTCCCAATATTGTGGAGGTGAGTAAGCTGATACAGAGGTTCTCTGAGTGGGCCCTGCCCAGATTACCACAGACAGGGAGGGCAGTCCAGCTCTGACAGTTAACTGTCTCTCTTCTCCTGAGCGGGTTCTATGTAGTGGAACCCCTGAGTCCTCTGGAGCAAGCTCCTAGCTACTTTAAATACAAGAAAAAGTAGATCAGTATGATGACTCCATTACCTAAAAAGTAATTTAAATTTATATAGTATGATAGCTTTTAGGTTAAAGTCTCTTCTACTTAATCAATTTCTTAAGTTTGAAATTCTGCCCCAGGTGTTTCCTGACCTGAGGGCAATATGTGTCGTAGCGTTTTGCAGGTAGAACTTAGAGCAGGGGTCGCTCAGGATGGCACGTGAGGGGAGCTCAGGAGTTGGAGACCGCCTGGGCTGCCCGCCTCGCCGCCATATTGTCTGACCTTGAGCAACTCAGTTTACGTCGTCTTCTTCCACGTGCTCTGTTTCGAGTTACACGTATCAGTTTATAATGTCTAGTGTCTTTAATTTTCTAAACTTGATTAATCATCCTTGAATAACATCTAAAAAGGTAACATTACTTTGTAAACAACAAAATGTCATAGAGTGACTCTCTCCATTGTTTTCTTGGCTAAACTTTACTTCACAAATTGTAGTTAAAAAGGACAAAATTTTAGCCACTCGTTATTTGGATAAATACTATGAAATTAACTTGGAGCCATAGTATACAAAAGTTAAGAGAATGCAGAATTGTAAAGGGCAAAGAAGATAATTTTAGCCTGGTGCAGTTAGCACCTAACTGTAGGTAGACAGAAAAAATTAATGTACATGTGCATTTAATATTTGAAGTGGGAGATATTTTTTTTTTTTTTAAAGATTACAGTCGTAAGAAACTGCTAACAGTTACAGCTAAGAAATAACGTAAATGGTTTTGCAAGGGATTGTGATTGCATAGCCGGGTTCCTGGCTTGATTGGCTGCAGATTTAAAATATGGACCTAATTTTTACATCCTTCCCAGGCTTTCTTCGTGGTCCTGAGTTGCAGAACATAGACCATTCTAAGTGTATTTTCACCCTGTGAATCACTGTCATAGTGATGTCAAAGTATAAGAACACGTAACTGTAATGTGAGGTTTGTGTTAAATTCAGCATGGGGGCGGTTTTATGTTTGGCATGCACATAAAAAGCTAGATTTTTACAGATGAATGACCGGCAAGTTTTTTAAAAGATTATGCATTTTAAAGACTTACTGATGGCTCATGGAAAATTTTGTAAAATACTTAGATACAGTTCAGTTGATAAAATCTTTTTTTATTCACATTCCATGTTTCTTATTAATACAGGATTTTACTTAAAAGTAGGTTCATTGTTTCTTAAAGGTAAACTCCAGCTTAATTCAGAATTGGACTCAGCTCAAAGGTATTCACTGGTATGTGCCGAATCCACCCACTAAAACATTATTTGGAGGCATTTTTCACATAAATATTTTTCCGTTAACCTTTTAAAAAGTTTTATTTAGCCTCTGTGAAATATGCTGACTCTTCTAGGTTCATTAGAGATGACCCAAGACACATACTTTTGAGATGGGAAAGAATTCATATTAACCTTTGCAGTATTGAAGTTGACTTATCAAAAATTTTGTCACTTTTATGTTACACTTGTGTGTTAAGACATTTCAGTCGTGTCCATTTCTGTGCCTGCCAGGCTCCTCTGTCCATGGGATTCTCCAGGCAAGAATATACAGTTCCCTTTGGGGGCTTCCATAATAGAAGCTTCTTTGTAATGAGACAGTTAAATTATTTGGAGCCAATGCAATTTAAATATAAAGCCAAGTATTCAACTTAATTATTTTTTTGAACATAAATACTGTGTTGGAAATCTAAGAGTATAGCTTACTTGTGGCAATCTATTTCTTTTTTCTTCTTCCAGTTTTATTGTTATAATTGACATATAACACTGTGTAACTTTAAGCTGTACCGCATAATGATTTGACTTGCCTCATGAAATTATCACCATAAGTAATGTTGGGGACTACTTTGTAGTTGTGGTGTGTAGGCTTCTCATTGCGTTGGCTTCTCTTGTTGTGGGGCATGGGCTCCAGAACGCAGGCTCAGCAGTGGTGGCTCATGGGCTTTGTTGCCCCATGGCATGTGGGATCTTCCTGGACCAGAAATAGAACCCATGTCTTCTGTATTTGCAGGCAGATTCTTAACCACCAAGAAAGTCTCAATTCATTGGTATTTTAATTAGGGGTATGAGAGAGTGTTAAACTTATCTGTTTTAGGCATACCAGTTGAGTTAATAATCAAATGCCCGTTTATTTAAGGAAGAATAACCTGAAACTAGAAGGAAAATCTTTAATCAGATTAACACAGTGTATTTTTCTGAAATATTCTCAAGAAAGATTGAATGAAT